AAATACTTCACAAGGATATGATGATGGTGATGGTGATTACATTTAAGCTACATTATACACTTTGGGAATAATTAGGTCATTGTGAGATTCTGATATAATTTCCCAGATACCGATATTTTCTCCTCATGGTTATGAAAAGTTGATTTCTCTTTCATGCACAATTTTTATTTTCAATAACCCCTTTTTTGAGGAATTACTTTTCAACCCATTTTGTTATTTTTTATCTGATTCTGGATACCATACTCTGAGCTATGTGTTTTATTTCTCTAAATTATACACATATAAAAATATTTTAAAATAATTTTACTTGCATGTTGGCAAAATCATATGGAGCTGACTTATGGGTCATCCATTGATTCTCAGTGTAAACACCATCACTTCTAAGAAAGTGATAAGTCTTTCAGAAAAGTCAGTGTTGATCATCAGAAATTAGCCAACAATAATGGAAGAGTCAAAATCCTTAAATATGTGCTATTCCACCACCGTTGATTTCTCCATTTTTTTCCATTGATCCTCTTGACCAAACCTTGCAATTTACCTCACTACAGGGGAAAAGAAGAAAAGGTAAACCAGGCTTTTGTATGAAAGTGACAGTGGGCTTTGATTTCAGACACTCAAGTCCTTATCCTTGCCACGTCTTCATATATGACCCTTATATTCTGGATTCTTTGAAGAATAGTACCAAATGTTGCAACCAGCGAATCCTCTCCCATCTTTTCCACAATCAGATAGAACCCTGGATTCTGAATGTTAAATTAGCTATTCATTTTACCAGGTAGAATTCAGAAGAAAGTTTCTACTGCTAAGACACAGGACATGAGCAAGGAGGATGGATTGCTTATCCTTCCACATTTACCAGAATATTGGAAACCCCAGGATAATATAAATGCACTTAGCTCCTCAGGAGGCTGAGATCTGAGGATCGCGGTTCAAAGCCAGCCCGGGCATGAAAGTCCGTGAGACTCTTATCTCCAAAAAACCTCTAGAAAACTGGAAGTGGCACTGTGGCTCAAGTGGTAGAGTGCTCACCTTGAACTGAAGAGCTGAGGGACAGCACCCAAGCCCAGAGTTCAAGCCCCACGACCGACACACACACACACACACACACACACACACACACACACACACATATGCATTCACAGGAAGTGTGAACCTCCACACACTTAAGACAACCTGGTATATCTGGTAGGGGAGAAAGACTGGATTTATAATCAAACATATATGATATAGACAGTTCAGATGTACTGGAATACTGCTAGGTCTTTTAACTAATGCTTCTTCTTAAGGCATTGCAAAGATTTTATAAGAATATAGAAATGTGACTGCTGTCCTCTATGCATACAATAATTTATATAGTCAATACTTAGCATTGAGAAAACAGTAGTGAGAGGCAAGAAAGATCTCATAGATTTTTAAGCTTGGCAACTCAACGCTGATCAATCAACTACAGGAACTCACAGGCAAGTGTGATCCCAAGATCCTGTTTTCCTTGTTAACAGATTAGGTCATCAGAAATGCATTGTCTGCTGACTTCTTAACTTTTCTAAAATTATTAATGGCAGCAATACTCTACTATTACTTAATACTTGAGTTACTGTGAACTATCCTCAAGTACAATAACTCTTGATAAAACAATCTGATTTAGGATAACTTACAGAGTTTTCTTTATTGTCAGCATTATGGACTGGTACAAAATTCTAATACTTCTTTTCAGTTTCATGACAGAAACATTATGTGATTTCATATTAGTAGTCTCAGGAATTAGATCAGAGGTCTCTCCCACTGAAGTTTAAACATGTTCCTGGAATGTATTTATGTTTTGTCTCAATTTTATGTATGTACAGACTCCTATACACACACGCATGCACACACGCACACACACACACACATACTGCACATTGATTGCTTTGTTTCCCTTGAAATGGAATGAATTTCACAAGAGATTATTAACCATTAGATTTATTTCCAACTTTATAGGTAGAAAATCAAATATTTAAACTGAAAGTTAAATGCTTATTCCTAAATGCCTGTAACATCTCTGAAAATTTTTGTATTGTTTCAATGAAATAACTGCCTAATTATTTTTTTAAAAATCAACATCAGTAATAGTAGAGAACAGTGGAACCTATGTACAAATCATTTTCCATCTACTCAGTTTTTCTTGATCATGTGTCTCTGGAGGTGGATGTTCCTGAGTAAATCTATTCGTTTCCTTCCACTGTTTAAAGCTAAATTCATTTATCTGTTATGACATCAATAGAAATGTTTAATTTTTTAATCTAGATATTCTAATGCATTTTTGACACAGTCATTCAAGTGATCTACTTTCAGATAAAATGCTCAGGTACTAGCGATCTACATTATTTCCACTTTAAAGCAAAACAAAATATCAAACATGCTTTAACCCAAATTCCATGGCCAGTTAATAGACTATTTGGAACATGATTTAAAGAATTAGCATTTGAAGTACTTACTTCTCTATACATCAGGCAATGAGCTCACTGAAGTTTCACTATACTAACTCTTTTACTGAATGGTAATGAAGATGCTGTGGGCACCCATCTTTTTCTTTCTCCACACACTGATTCTCAGACTTGAACTTGTGCCACAACGACACAGAAGGCCACATGACATGCATATTGCTAAGTAATACCCCAAGACTTTCTAGTTCAGTTGACTCACATGGGAAAAATTATATTCAATTTTATGACATCCAAACTAAATTTCGAAGGTGTTGTATAATAAATAGTTCTCCAATCACTGCATATAAGCTAAATTATTGAATTAATTTTTGTTATGCTGGCTTAATTAAGCAAATAGCTCTCAGACCGAATTGACATCATTAGACATTCATATAAGAACTTTTTTCCTCAAGATTAATTAGAAGTAGTATAAATGGTGTCAATCAGTTGAATAATATAAAAGGTAGATTGGAGAAAAATAAAGAAGAACCTTCTCTATGCCTTGACATCTATTTATCTATCTGTTTATCTATCTATCTATCTATTAATATTACTGGAGTGTGAACTCAAGGCTTCATGCCTCCCTTCAACCATTTTTAAAATTTTACTTTCTGGTCAGCCCATATTTTTTCTGTTGAACATTTGTACATTCATGCCGTCCAGAAGTGTTATGCATATTTGACATCTTCTCCCCTTGCAGATTCAGTCATGTCTATTTTTATGAAACTATAACCCCAGGGTTTTCTCTGCATTTAATGTCAAAGCAAATATGCTATGTGTTTAGCTATGGTAAATACAATTTCTTTCTCCTCTAATCTAATTATATTGGGTCCCTGTTAAGCCAAAACCAGAGTCATTACACTTTTCTAAGTGCCATATCATCAATAAATAGCAATGTTTATATAAAACTATAATATTACTACTATTTCTTTGAACATTTATCCAAAACCAGACATTGTGACAAGATATTCATATCAATGATTTGAAGAATTTGATGAGAAAAGCATATTCTTTTTACATTAGATTTTCAAAGAAAGAGTTTCAAAATTTCTTTAATCTTACACAAAGATGATTAAAAACTGTGACTGCAGATTGGGCAGTCTGATTTCAGTGGCCTTTCTCTTAATTACTCTCTTAACCAGAGTGGCTTTTTTATGCCACCATTGCGTGTTATCTTGCCAAACTACTTATAGTTATTACTGGTTATAAGACATTATAATTAGACAACAGATTCTTGAAAAAATTCACACCCAAGCTAATAATCTGTTCAATTTAAAAAATGGAGAACTGGAAGTTCTTTCATTTTTAGCTTGAAGGCATTACCTATCATAAGCTATATGGGAAGGACATAATGCAAAATGATCAAAACTACTGGAGTTCTACATTGTGGCTATAATATTTCTTAGGTCACAAATTACAATGGGTTTCTTTTACAAAACAGAAAATAATCCATGTATTTAAAAAAAACTGCAAAGTTCTATGGTACCTACAAGTTCAAATGGACCTATTATATTTGGCATAATCACACAATTATCAAAATTGCATAAACCAGAGCGAATTTCAATGTTTTCAGAACATAAAACTTTTATGTTTATTTTTCCCTGTTATTATTTTTAATGCTTAAATCTATCATTGCTTAGGTTACCTTCCTTCATCCACTTTTTTTTGTAGGATATGTGATAGAGAGATGATAACTGTATTTTAACTATTAGCTCTGGTATAATGTCTTGTATTAAAATAAGGACATATCATGAAATCATGACTATTAATTGAGATAATTCTCTGACATCCCAAGAGACAACCTAGCATTAAGTCTGGACTCGCTTTGCAAAGGAATCAAGCACTTTCAGTAGACACTGATTCCCAGAATCTGTGTCAACTAAGCAGTTCTCTGCACAGTGGTAATTCTCCTAATCCCTGTAATTTATGCATCTCAGGATACATTCCAAAGCATTGTTTGCATATGCTATCCACTAGCTTTAAAAGCAGTGCTCATTATGGGGCAGGAACAGATGCAATCCAACAGAAAGGTCTGCCACAGTGATGTTTGTGCCGAAGAACAGCCTATTTGGCAAGCACGGGTAACCGGATGAATAGGAGGAATGAAGAATAGTGAGGAATCAAGATTTAAACCCGCTACCTCCAACATCCCCCCAGGAGCCACCTTGCAATCACTGTAACAATTCCAAATCTCATTCTAGATGCCAGTAAATACTCAAATTGCAAAGAAACCAGTAATGACCCAGTGGAGTTTTCAAATACACTTAACTTTGCTATTTCAAGCCACAGACACCAAATGGAAAAGAAGGTAATGTTCTTAATTTTCATCAACTTATCAAAGCTGTTTTTTCATAGTGATGGATTTTTTTTTCTCCCTGTTCTTGGCACAAACCATCCACGACAACTTAGAAAGCTGAGGAAGAATCCTTGGGCCTGTGTGTCAGACGGCAAAAGGGGGAATATCAGGATGCTTTTTAAAGGCAATAGGAGCCCCCTCTGATATGATCAGAAAATGCTGACGTCAATTTTGTGTTACAGGTCATACAAACAGTAAGTGCGACAGACAAAGACGAGCCCAAAAATGGACATTATTTCTTATACAGTCTCCTCCCGGAAATGGCCAACAATCCTAATTTCACCATCAAGAAAAATGAAGGTAAATATATTAACTTTGTGTAACGGGGTAAAATATAAATTGGAAACTAAACCACACTTATATAATAACACTGAAAAATACCATGAAATATTTTTGTGTTCACCATAAGTATTTGACATCCGCTTTATCTATTCAATGGCACATCATTACACCACTCCTCCGTTCTTCTATCCACTTAATAGATCAGAAAATTGTTGCCGTGGAAATTAATTTTATCCCAGTGAATATTGCCATCAGCTGGCTTGAGAAAATGCAGCGTATGCTTAAATACCCATGAAACTATGCAGAAAGTCTAAGATACTAAGATCTCTGTCAGCAGACAAGCCCGGCTTGAACTTTGCAATTGTAAAGTTTTAATTGAATGTTTACCAAGTCTTTAGGGAAAGTCTATTCTAATTTTGCCTGGTTTGTGTGTACATATTAGAGGTATTTGTTTTAAGCCTGTACTGACTTTAATAATAGCAATTAGATCAGAAAAATCCTTCTTGAAGGACACTTCTTATCAGTATTATTTGGGAGCTAATACAAACTGATTTACTGCTAAGTCTTTCACTCACAAAGGATATTTAATCCATTTCCTTAGTTCCTAAGAATCCAGCTTCGATATCCTTTGGCTTCAGCTATGTTCTATTACTTAGCAGGACTCATCTCATGTTTGTTTTTTTTGTTTGTTTGTTTAATATAGCTTATTATATATTCATGTTCCTAAGCTGATATATATATATATAATACTTAACAAGGACTTTCAAAATTACTTTCATTGTAATATATTTCTCTTTAGTTTTTAGCTATTTTTAAATGGTTAGCAAAAAGTAAAATGCAAGTATGTTTCCAGGTTTTCTTTTCCCTATTCCCCTTTTTAATCTTTTTGGTGTGGCCTTACTATAGCATAGTATAGTTTAAGTTTTGAATGAATGGTTTGCAAGTAAAATATTTAGACTAAAATTTGGTTTGTGCTATCTCTTTGAGTGGATTACTACAACGGTTTAGAGGAGGTAGTGAATTTTGAGAACACTAGCTTTACAAAATCAGATTCAATGGCTTGTGATAAATACGTTATGACCTCCCGTTTTAGTATAATGTTACTGAGTTCTTTGGGAGAGGCTTTGCCAAATGTAGATGTCTGTCACATAGGACAAGGAAGGTCAATATGCTGGCATCTCCCATGTGCTGGCTTCCTCAGTTGTAAATACCACAGAAAAAATACTATGCTAGCTCTCCTCAAAAATGGACCACTCATCTGGTAGTCACCCTTAATTAACAAATTTAATACAAACTTAGTGTTCTTTTTCTTTTTCCTCTACTATTTGTGCTGAAATTTCTTTCTTTTTTTTTTTTTTTTTTTTGGTGGAAATCACTTGAATATTTCTAAGTAAAAATAAAGCCATTACAAACCCCAGAATGAGCTGAAAGTTTGTTCATAAGTGCAATTTATGTTATTTTGAGTATGAACTACTCAGGATGTGGAATTATTTGAGCATATAAGATTCACTGTATTTAATAGTTTCTCCATGAAAAAACATGTTCCAAATATCAGAAGGCCTTGGTATATTCTATACAATATAAAATGTTGGGATATACCTTTTATAGGTGTGACTCTGGCTTGATTTTTTGTGCTTGTGGTTCTTTTGCCAGTTCTGGGGCTTGGACTCATGTCCTGGGTACTGTCTCTGAGTTTATTTGGGTCAGAACTCTACCACTTGCTCTACAGCGCCACTTCAGGCTTTTTCCATGTGATTGATTGGAGATAAGAAGCCTCACCGGCCCAGCGCCTGTAATCCTAGCTACTTAGGAGGCTAAGATCTGAGGATCATGGTTCAAAGCCAGCCGGGGCAGGAGAGTCCTTGAGACTCTTATCTCCAATAAACCACTAGAAAACCGAAAGTGGCACTGTGGCTCACGCGCTAGAGCACTGGCCTTGAGCTGAAGAGCTGAGGGACAGTGCCCAAGCCCAGAGTTCAAGCCCAATGATCGACAAAAAAAAAAAAAAAAAAAAAGTCTCATGGACTTTTCTGCTTGAGCTGGCTTCATGCTATGATTCTCAGATCTCCACTTCCTAAATAGCTGGAATTATAGGCCTGAGCCACTGGTGCCCAGCTCTGGGTGGTTGTATGTAACATTTTAGATTAACATAAAGGTATCGATGTATCCCAGGGAACGTGCTATTTTAATCTATATTAAAATTTACACAACATTTTTAAAGATAATATTTTATCCTACACTGAGTAAGTTTTATGTGGTTTCTCTAATTTTCAGAATTACTACTAAGAAAATGTTGTAAATATAGCAAAGGTCCTTCTGCCACATTTCAAATTTAAATAAACTATGCTGTAGGGTACTTAATGTATGTGAGTTACCTCTTTGATTTTGAAGAGAATATAGGAATGATGCTTTTTGAGTAACTTTTTAATGTTTGTTTCAGATTTTTAAAATTAAAAAATGTCAGGTATTGAAGAGTGAATCAGGAAAGTACACTCTGTCATGATTACTTATTTTAAATGATATATTCATTTGTTTGGGAAAAAGTGGCCATATAATTCATTATTCCAACTATGATTTTTAAAAAGTGAAGGGGGTTGCTGTTTATATTTATGCCTAGAAAACACCATAAACTAAGACTGTCTTGTAGGAAACAGGACATATGTTCACTATGATATTTGGATAGAGGATCCAAATATTCAACATCTCCTCACAGAATAAATCATGAACTCACAGGTCTCTGGAATAAACATGCAAAGTTTATACACTATTTATTTTACCGAGATCAGAAATTCATGAGTTTTGCTCCACTTCTTTGCAGTCTGGCATAGCTACTGTGAAAATGGAGGGAAACATTTTTTTTTTCATTGTTAACAGACAGAAACAATTAAGAAACTGAAAGCATTTGGCATAGATACAAAGCCTCCAGATAGGCTTTGAACTTTGGGCAGTATACTATTAATGATGTCAGAAAACAAAACAACTTCATTCATTCTAGATACGGACCTGGAGCATGGCTCAGTGGTAGAGCACCAGCAAGGAGTGAACAGGTTGAGTGAAAACTTAAGGTCTTCAGTTCAAGCCCTAGCATACATATGCACAAAATACTACATATAATTTACTTGAAAATTGTGATACATTTTGTATTGGAAATAGAGAAAGGTAAAAATCAAATGATCCTATTCAGAATTTTTTTTTTCCCTTCTTGGTGTGAACTTTAAAAATGGGGCAGGAACTGAGATTTCTGTGAGTTGTAAGTCCCAATCTATGTAACAATGCTAAGTTTTATAATTTGACCAGTAAATAAATAAGCTTATCATTTAGCCAGTAAACGCAAATCTATAAATGATAGATAAATTATTCTTTCACCTTAATGTGATCTTCAGGGAGACAATTTCAGTAGTTAATAATTTTCTAAGGAATTTGAAGCCATGTCATTTCAATGGAAAAGTGACTGTTTTTCCATCTTATATAGATTGATAATAGTGCAATTTCAGTCCACTAATACATAACCAGAGACACAATAAGGTAAAAATGAGCTGCTTCTTGTAGCCTACACAGTTGACCTGACTGTATAATTCTCTCTCTAAATATGTGAGAATCATTCCAGGTGTCCCTGGCTTATTCTTGTAGCTACTCAGGAGGCTAAAGACCTGAGAAGCAGAGTTTCAAAGCCAGCCTAGGCTAGAAAGTAATTGATACTCTTTTAATATATATATATGTATATATTATTATTAAAGATGCTGTACAGAGGGGTTACAGTTACATAAATAGAGGTAATGAGTACATTTTTTGTCCAGCATTGTTACTCCCTCCTTTGTTTTTACTCCTACTACTATCCCTTCCCTTCCATCCCTCCCTCCCCCCAAAATATAAAGTTCATGTCCAATATAGAGTCTTGTGAGTCTCATTGTTACAATGGATCATCCTGTGTCCTTGTTTCAGCATTTTGTTATTTCCCTTCCCCTCCCCAAATTAGATAAATGTATATACAAGATGCAGGATACCAGAATCAAATATAGTGACAACAGGGATATACCATAGGAAGAAGAACAAAAAAGAAACAAAAATCACATAGTCCATTAAAAACAACAACAACATAAGATGATGCTAAGTGAAATGAACCCCAAGATATGGATACTATTATCTTCAGTTAACCACAAAAAATCCAGAAGTTGAACTAGAGTTCAAGTGGTAGACTGCTAGTCTTGAGCACAAAAGCTCAAGGACAGCGAGTAGACCCTGGGTTCAAGCCTCAGTTCTGTCCCAATAAAAAATGACTAAATAGATGAATAAATATTATATATGTTTCATAATCATATGGCAATGTTCAATAGGGAAAATATGCAAGGTGAAGAATATCAGAGACATTTTATTACCTATGTACAGACACACAAAAGACCTTGTATATTTTTTTCCTAATTTTATAGATCTTTATCTTCCAGTTGAGCAAATTTGTATCCAAGAGATTTACTTACCACATTTCAGTATTGGCTTCCATCCATTCTAACTGTGGAAATGGAAAATACCCAACAATTCAATAGAAGAAGACAGGGAAGATAAATGAACCATTTACAGTTACTGAAATATCTTGCTCACAGGAAATTTGAGGTCAAAAGGAACCTGCTCTTCTCCAGCCTATATATTGCAGGTAAAAAGTTTGGATTTGCTAGAGCACAGGCTGGTGCAAAAGGAGTCTTCAAGACTTATACTGAAATATTTGGTTAATATATATGTATATACAGAAAAACATATCACCCTGCTCTTCAAAAAGAGCAGGAGAGAAGAAGAGAGAAATATGCAGTGAAATTGGACTTCGCTATAGTTTGGCCATGCTTAAGAAAGACAGTTATGGAGCACTAGTAACTAAAATGTTGCTTTTGCTTTTTTTTCTTCTTCACTGACATCTTATTGATAAGAGGCTCACTCTTAATCTGGGAATATATAGTTCAGTGGGATGGTGCTTTCCTAACTAACAAGCATTTGGCCTGGAATTAATCACCAGAATCGCAAAAGTATGC